GTGTGTCCAGGGATGTATGCGTCGTAATTGATTCCCTCCGTGTTGGACGTTGTATCGGTTGTGGTCGCTGCACTGCTTTGATATGCGGGTCATCGGGATGTTGTGACATCCTACGATGCCCGATAGGAGCTAATGGTGCGTTTTGGACAACATTAGGGCCAATATGAGAAGAGGATGTTGGTTGACCAACAACCTGAGTTCCCAAATTAAATGTTTGTGGGCCTAATGGTCCTTGTCCTCCACCTAAAGGTAATCCACCAAATGCACCAGGTGGTGGGTTAGTATTTAATCCTGCAGCACCAATATTTCCATTACCGCTAATTACAGGTTCATTAAGAAGAGATAAATTTGTGGATGCTACTGATGGTGGAACACCTGCAGCAGGACCAGCTAAATGAGGTGCTGCCCCAATTGGATTGAACCCTCGAGGAGGTATCTGTTGTCGCATTACTGGGTGATGAGGGTGCATTGGCATCGGAGGTCCACCATGATGTGGATGGACACCCATACCAATTGGGCCTAATCCCGTAGTGAACAGCGAAGATGCAGGATTCATCCCTGGTAAAGTGTTTGTTGGCTGTTGTGGTGGTGGTTGATTAAGTATTTTTTTATTGTTCGTATATACATCATTTACGATCTCATTATTAATTCCTACTGGACCATTTATAATCCCTCCAGGTTGTCCTCCAAATTGAGGTTGTGGCCCATTCTGACTAAATATTGGATGTGGTGGATGATTTGGGGGTGGGGGCATGTGATGAGGTTGATTTATAGCATGATGTGGAGGAATATTTTGATGTGATTCGTGTGATGTATAATTATTAATCCATCCGTTAGACATTGTAACAACATTTTTAGATTGTACAGCTGGTTGATTATTTATTGGTGGTTGTGACTGTTGTATAGAAGGTTGACCTATTGGTGGAATAGTGCGTTTTCGCTCAACATGCTGCCGTGTAGAGGGTAAAATAACAGACCTCTGTTCTTTTTCTTCTTTATCTTTTCTCTCTTTTTCTTCTCGCTCTCTACGCTCCTTTTCTTCTTTTTCTTTACGAACTTTCTCTTGCTCTTTTAATTCTCTCTCTTTACGTTCATTTTCTTCCTTCTCTTTTCGTTCTCTTGCCTCACGCTCTCTTCGTTCTTTTGCCTCACGCTCTTTTCTATCACGTTCATCACGTTGACGCCGCTCTTTCTCCTCTTTTTCCTTACGAGCTTTCTCTTCTCTATCTTTACGTTCTTTCTCCTCTCGCTCTTTACGTTCTTTTGCCTCTTGTTCTTTTCTCCTACGTTCCTCCTTTTCCTTTTCCTCCTTTGCCCTTCTCCTTTTTTCCTCCTCTTTTTTTAAGCGTTCTTCTTCCTTTGCTCTTCGCTCCGCCTCTTTTCGAAGACGCTCTTCTTCACGTTTTTTACGTTCTTCTTCAGCTTTTTTTTCTCGCTCTGCACGTAATGCTTGCTCTTCGGCAAGCCTCTCAGCTTCTTTCCTTGCTCTTTCTTCCTCTTTTTGTTGCTTTAAGGCCCTAAATGAATATTC